TAGCCACCCACCTAGAGTTTGCAGATTTGTTTTCCAAAACCCTAGTACATGTGTGGGTTTCCACAAGTGTTTTTATTGCAAAAGTGTGTTTGTGGGCCACTTTAGAGCATAAGACTAAAAAACCACATTTAGCCTTACATTATACTCTAACCCTATAGCTTTCATTTTTAATAAAGGTAATTTCCCTCCCATTGAGGACTGACCACTCACGAATAGCCTCCCTAAATTCCACAAGTGAATTAAATTCCATACCCATCTTAAACTTATAGTCCTTGTTGAGGTGATCTTTTCTAAACATTTCATACTTGGGCCTTTCATCATCACAAGAATCATCCGGGTCATCACTATTCAACTCATCACTATGGTATTCATCCTCATACGTGGTCTTCTTGGGCCTACCAAAAATCCCACTAAGACTTACATCCTCATTCAATGGCAATGTAATATCGATTCCTTCAAATCCATCAAGAAGAGAAGTAGCTCTCTCATCTTCACTGTCATCTAAACCTTCAACCATCTCCTCTTCCAACCGATCCATTTCATTCACCTCATTGACACAACTAGGTTTCATATCATTAGCATCCAATCCTCCCTGAGAATGTTCCATAAATAAATGTCCAATGATATCCATTGCACTAAAGAATGATGAAAATTGTATGCATCATCATCCTTTTTTATCAAAATATATCCTTCTTGAATCTCTAAAACTTTCGTCCATAAACGAAAAGTCCCTTTCTTATACCCCCACCCACTTACCAACTTCATAATACGATCCATCGTCCACTTAGTAACTTCAAGCCCATTTACAGTTGAATCAACCCCTCTGTAAATAATTTCAGTCGTATTAACCCTAATAAACTCACCCCCATGGTGAAAAGTAACAGTAAAAGGTTGGAAATCCTGTGAATGCATCAAACTCAGTTATCATAAAGTTCCCACGGTATTACACTTTAACTGTATTGAAGTTTCAAAATCAACATACCTTAGACATTGCAAGCTTCGTCTTCGTCTTTGTCGTTACCTGATGCCTTGTATTGCCTCGTCTTGCTTTGTCGCCTACGGAGTCGTCGTCTTCACAACTCAGTCTTCTTCACATAAACCCTAATTTGGCAAGGGGGTATAACGAATAGAAAAAAATTACAAACTGGTTTGCCTAATGATTGAATGAAAATGTCATGTGACTAAATTGGAAATAAGACGTAGCAAATATTTCAACATGTCACTCAAGATTCCATGACATTTGGCCAGTGGAGGGTGATCTGAGGGAATCTACATAACACAAGGAGAGAATTAAAACAAAATTTTATGAGTGACTAAAACCTGATTTCGCTAATATTGCAGGGGGATTTTATATTTAACACATTTATAAATTACCAACTATTATAATTTATACTCTTGTCATCCTTGAAATAGAATATTTTTGTTGGATCACGAGGGATTCATGATCATTGAATTACTTTCAACATGTACTTTAAATGAATTCGACATTAATTAACTGGTATGAGTCTTTTTATTTTATAAAATGCTCGATATATATTTTTCACCTAATATAAATAGTATAGCCACTCTTAATATAAGGCATTTAGACGGGATAACAATTTAACACATATTATATGAATATCTGCAATAAATATTCATAATGAATAAAGTAAAAATTCTAAAATAGATACGAATACGGGTAATTATTCATTAAAATATGTGAATATGAGTGTGGATACATATTCGTTACTATTCATCATGCCTCATACTTACACTATATATTTATATAATATCTTTTATATTAATATGTGAAAATACACATTTATCAATTTTTTAAAAAAATATAGCTATTAAATTGTGTTTATTTATTTATTAAGTCAACAATAACATTAATTTCTTTTTAATATTGTTAAAAAAACTTAAATTATATGATATTTTATAATTAATTAATTTAATTTTAATACGAGTAAACGGACACGAATACGAATATTGAGGACCCATAAAATAGTATGAACATTAGTAGGACCCATAAAATAATATGAACATTAGTGTTCGCACGGATTTAGATTTTACTAGGGAGATTTTTTTCAAACCCCTAATATAAAGGGTAATATAATACCCTACCTAAATTCTATCTATTATTATCCTTATATATGAGCATACTTTCTCTTTGCAGCGGAGATTTCACTGGAGGAAATTCAGTGTCAATTTTCACCCTTCATTTTTCAATTAAATGATTAAAACAAATCACTGAAACAATTTTTCACAGGAGATGATCTCTTCTCCAGACATATACATATATATTATAATTAAATATTACATCACTATTTTTAAAATATATTTAAGTTAAAATTGAAATTTTATATGTTTTTAAATCAAGAAATTTATTTTATTACAAAAAATTTAAAACCTATTCACTTATTGTAGAGGAATAAACGTAAAGATATGTGTATGTAATTTTTTAAATGCTTTAATTAAAATACTGCTATACATTAGTCTTAAATTCTTTTTCTTTGTTTTAGAGGATTATTAATGATGTGGATAATTCCACGGTGTCTCAATGTCCAAAATATGTCGAAGTAAAAATTACTTTTAATCACTTTATTCTTCGAAACCAGGTTATGTTGTAGCTGCTATCTGTTTTTGTATTGGAAAAAAGATGGACAAAACCTCTGCAGCCCCTGATACACATATAGTTTCATGATAGACCTCTGAATTACTGATGTCATAGCTTCATATGGACCACATTTTAAGGATTTTTTTTATAAATGTATCATTTTTTTTATTTAAAATCAATATTTTAAAAATCAAATCGATCTGACTTAATTGATTAGATCGAAAAACAAAATTAATTCAATTAGATTAATTTTTTAACACTGTCACTAGATTAAAATCAGAATAAAAAAAAATGCAGATTGATCTAAAGAACAAGAATCAATTTTATAAAATATATTTAAAAAAAAATTCATCGAATTGACATTTTTAACATTTTTTAAAATAATTTCATATGTCAATATCAAAACTTAATATATTATATTGTTTATTTTTAATATTTTATCTTATTTAATTTAAGTATTTTTAATTATTTGAATTTTATTTAGTTATCATGTTTATTATCTTAGTTTTAGTTTAAATTAGTTTAATTAATTCAAATTATTATTAAATGAAGGTTGAAATCAAATATATAACTATATTGTACTATTATATATATTATCGATATTATTGTATTAAGTTTGTAATAAATTTTATTTTTAAAATTATTAAGTTGTGAACACATGTGTGACATATCTATAAAATTTAATTTTATATTATTAATTTTATTTAATAAATGATTTGTCCTTAAATTTAATCGATTAAATTTTAAATTGAAAATTTCACAAATTTATTCTTCAATCCGATTTTTAAAACATTATTTAAAATACTAAATTATCATATTTTTTTCATAAATTTTAAAATACCATTTTTTCAGAAAAAAATATATTTTAAAGTATATCAATGAGACCCTTCTATTTTATTTTATCTTTCTGCAAATTTTCTTGCAAAAAATTACTCTTATGGAATTTTCTACAGACTTTTCCACGAAAAGTAGTTTCTTCAAAACTTCCATGAACTTTGCAGTGTATTTAAAATAAATAAAAAATTTAAAATATCATATATTTAAAGAATCTGCAGAAAATTCTCTCTGAGTATATTTATGTAGGAAATTCTGAAGAAAAATCAGTATGTAATTAACAAATAATTAAAAAACATATATTTATAGACCCGCCAAAGCATTGGACTGATTTGTAGTAATAAAAAAATTGTTTGAGAATATGGTTGAATGATAATGAGTTGGAAAAATATAATATTTTGGTTAATAAATTGAAAAAAAATGGTAATTTATCAAAAAAAAAATACATTTTCCAGCTTTATCGATAAATAGGGATGGAAATAGATTTGCATAGGTTTTAGAAAGTCTGAGTCTAACTTACGATAGATTTAAAAGATTGAGATTTAGCTTATAATTTATTATAAATTTCTTTTTTAGATTTGATCTGACTTTCTTAAAAATATGATCTATTCTGAAATCCTATTTAAAATTTTGTTTTACATTAAGATTTTCAAATAATATGTTTTAATATATATATATATATATATATATATATATATATATATATATATATATATATATATATATATATATATATATATATATATATATATATATATATATATATATATATATATATATATATATACCAATCTATTTAATATATTTTTTAATATATACACATATGATATATATAACAATTTTTAAAATATATATAAATATATATGACGACTATAAAGCTTCGTAAAAATTTTTAGTAGTCTATCTATTTAATTAAATAAATTTTTAAAAAATTCAAATTTATTCTTTTTATTAGATAGGATTAACTCCACCTTAAATAGATTAAACTGTAAACTCTTATAGGTCAGACATATTCTCATACCTGCCTACACATATTCTCATAACTACCTACAAAGAAATGCCACTTAAAACAAAAACAATTTCTACTTTTTTGCTCAATAGTGAAATTTTCTGCTCGATTAGAAAGTATCACAAGTTTCACCATTTGAAGATGCTGCAATAACTTGTATTCTAAAAGGTATTCACAAAAAGAGCCAATAATATTTTTTAAAAATTTTCATAACACATACATGCAAGGTTTCTGATCTGTATTCACTCTGTTCACAAAAAAGACAATCCTACTTTTAGCCTTTAGGATCCTACCTTAGATCACCATTCTCAAGATATCGTTTTTTTGTCTCAAGTGTTTTCTAGTGTGTCTTTTTATTCTATGTGAGAAGTTTCTAGTGTCTATTAGAGAGAACTAATAGACAAATCAAGCAATTACATTCAAAAGAACATTTGTTAGAAGAAATTAACTAGAGACAAATAAACAAAAATAATTGTTCAAGAAAAAAAAACATACATTCACATTTCTAAAAGGACTAAAAAAACTAACTTACATTTACATTTGAGAAATCCAATCTATGTTTCAATAATTTCCATGGATTGATAAAGGGCCATTGAAATAATTATCAACTTCCCATTTACATGACTCAAAATCCTCTTCAAGATGAAAAGGAATATTATCAACCATGCAAGAACTCTCATTAGAAACTATTGTTGGAAAAACATCTTCATTGTAAGAAGAAAATGAACCAAATGACTCATCTAAATATTCTTCTCCTGATATCTCTTTAATCCATTCTGTCACACTTTTCCTTTCACTCCAAATTTCAGTAACACATGAAGAACATGAACTGCCATTACAATCCTTATCCACATAATTATTAGCACCAACAACATTAACATCAACATTTTTGTCACATACTAATCCAACATTTTTCGATTTTCTCTTTTGTTCTTTCTCTTCTTCATGATGTTTCTGCTTCTGCGGCGGTTCGATAATATTTGTAACAGCATCAGCACCTCTATACTCAATTGCAGCTCTATCATAAACCAAAGCAGCTTCTTCAGCTGTATCATAAGTTCCTAACCATCTTCTCCTTCCCAGCCGAGGATCGCGAATCTCCGCAGCCCATCTCCCCCACGGCCGTCTTCGAACACCGCGGAACTTTTGATCAACACTTTTTACTTGTTCTTGTCTCTCATTTTTCTCTTTCAAACCACATTCACCATCAACATTGTACTTTTCTCCGCCTTCATGTTTCTTCTTATTGATTTTCTTGTTAGAATGAGTCGAACATGTTTGAAATATAATCTCTTTCACCATTTTCTTTGTTACTACACGTTGAATAAAGCTATGTTCTTGTTCTTCTTCAGATGAAGAATCTGTTGCATATTTATCCGTATATGAGATTCTAACAATTTTTGGTGTAGGAGAAGATTTCACAAACTTTGTGGTAACAGTTTTGTGCTCTATGATTTTTTCTTCCTCCATAGTAGCTACCAAGTGTGTGTATGATTCTAGAGTCAAGAAAGAATCTCAATTTTTAAGGTTACCAACCTAAATAATATTTTATACAAAATAAAATAAACATAGTCAATAGATAAATAAGTTTTTCTTTAAACATGTACCAAGTAAACTTTTTTTAGAAAATCATTTGCTTTACAACCACGCATGCTTGGCCACCAAGGAACACTGTTTTATTATATTTATTTTTTCTTTAATATATAATGTAGTTGCAATCGTCCTTTTTAAAAGTCACTACATAATTAATCAATTTGGGGTTCATCCAGCATTTGATGTTCTTATATAATTACTGAACTGAGCTATCGAGACATTCATATAAATTGTTATTTGTTGTAAGAGAAAAATTGTTATATTAATACAAAAAATTGACAAGTATATCATACTATGTATCTTAATATATCAATCTTTATACTCAATTTTGTATCAACATATATTTCGAGGTGAAGGTAATATATTAAAGAAATTTAAACCATCCTATTTTATAGTGAGTTAGTGTTAATTTAGAATTTGAATTTCTTTTTATAATTAAATAGTTGATTGTCACAAATAAAAAAATAAAAGCACAAAAGAAAGAGAAAAAGTTTTTAGAATTATTTTACTAAGAGCAGTGTTTTCAATATATGGACGACGCGTCTAATAAATGGATAATTATCGAGTAGACGGATAATTAAGAAAATTTTATGGTGAGACAATGCGTCATCTTTCTCATTTGTAATTTCTTATGGGCCCCATTCAAATATACTAATATATAATTTCTCAAGCATGAGGGTTTAGAAAGGACTGAATGATTTAGTTATGACTTTCTCGTCTGAAGGTGTCCCTCAAGTGTGAGGTGACTCCCTTATGCAAAGGTCAGTCCCTCATGCGTTAAGAGAATTTTGTATATGGACAACTCTGACATATGTCCCCAAAGTATCGTCGACGTGGTGTGAACTAGAGAAATCCTCAAACGATTGTTGGGAGAGAAAAATAGTGTGAGGCATTTAATGCTAACAATGATGATTTATCCTTAGGATGCCAAATAAGTCTTACTCTTTCACACATGTCAACAATGAGCAGAGCCATTTCTCCCTTTTACAGGTACCAATTAAACTTCTCTTTTCTCTTTTTTTTTATGGTGATAATTGGGGATTTAGATGAGAATGTAAACCTGATAGAGCTCTTAACTTGCGATGAGCACACAACCTTCTGAAACCATTGTCATAGGAATGTTAGGCGTCCCGACGGGACAATCGACTGTAAATTAATGGAACTAAACATGTTTGGAAGTTGCAAGAGTTCCTTTAATTCCGATAGTGATACAATGGTGGTAGTGAAAGTGATTCTTTTTCTCTTTTATTTTCTCAAGAAACAAGAAGAAGATGACCACCTCTGATCTTGAACCAAAGGATGACAGGAAAGTTGATTCTTATTACAATATTAAGGACCAAATAGATCCCCTCTAACAATAGCTTAACTTCTATTCGTCAAGATACAAAGAGGAAATAATCATGAAGGTGTGTTCCTTAGAAGACATGGCCAATATTACTGCTTCAGAAGACTTTCCTACTCATTCCTTCTACTTTTACATCCCCAATATTCAGGATATTGGAGTTCAATTCAAGAAAATGGATGAGAATAAACTTTAATATATTAACAGTGTAAAGAATGCAAAGGTAGAATAAAGAACATAACAACTACACATATTCAATTGCGTAGTAATGCAACCAAACATTTACAAAACTTTTATGTATGCAATGTGACTCACGACTTAATATGATGCTTATGGTACCAACTGGGCATCAGAGGTTTATTACTAATTTATGTTCATACAACACAAGTTCTACATTTGAATCGGGTTCCCACTTCAGAACCTCGAGCCCCAGCTTCTGGACTCTGGATAATTCACTCGTCCCCACTTATGAACTCGTGACTCGCCTCTTTCACAACATGACAACATATGATACATGGCATACGAAAATGCATCAACAACAACAACACATTTGCGGTTACACTTCTAACCATAAAATAACAATGCAAAAATAACATTAACATAGTTCCCACTTCTGAACTACCAACATAACATAATGATCACAATTATATGCACATTCACATAATTAAATCGTAGTCACTTAACTTACTGAAACAATACAATTTAATTATTATTTCACCATTAACTATAATTCACTTAAATCATGTAAAATCACCAAAATACACCAAATTGTAGAAAACACTGACCGAACTCGGAAATCTACAGTGAAAATTGATCCAGCAACTTAGAATTGAGCCATTGACACCATAATGACCGCCATGGTCTTCCTGTCATCGGGGTGACGGTTGTCACCCCGTCTGTCATGTCACTACATGATGTCTGTCAGGAAAATCCCCACATGGAGGCCATGTCGGACTCCCCAATGCATGACGCGTATCGTCGCCCAAAATGCATGACGCCTGTCACGCATGAATGACGCATGTAACGCATACATGACACCAACCCGTCACGCTGTCGATGAAACCAGAATCGCGTTTCAGCCATGGTAACTTTTTCGAAGCTCCGATTTTGACCCTCAATACCCCAAATCAAACAGAAAAACATAGATGCAAGTATACCATAATCAACCAGTATTTATTCCTTAATCAATAATCAAAATCACGACTTTTCATAGATTTTAGGTTATGTTTCAAAACTTTAAAACTCGACAATGGAAGCACCAAATTACATAATTCATATCACAATCCATATATAAAATTCAACATATTACATAGCACTAAAATCACATATTAAGATGATAAATAACATGAATTCCTCATCCATACATCAAAACTCATGAAAACACAACAATGGTGAAAAACAACCTAGATGGGGGTGAGGATCCCTCTCTACCCTTCATGCAATAACACCTGTATTAGAGTAGTTCACCCCCTCCCCCCCCCCCCCCCCCCCCCCCCCCCCCCCTCCTTACTTGAATTTCCAGAAAGCAACGCTAACAATGATAGGTTTTTCTTCTCTTAAGCCCTTAGCCTCCTATTTTTTGCCCCTTTTTTTTCTATTTTCTATACTTCTCCCAATTTTTGCATATCAAAAAAAGTTTGGATCCACTCTCTACTATTTATATCAACCTAAATCATCATTAATTTAATAATCACTTTTTGGTTATTTCACATTTACCCGTCACTTATCTATATTTTCTATTTATTTCATTATTTACTTTAGTTTCCCTTTTTTCTAAATACTCTTATTTCCACCCAATTATTATTATTATATTATTTTAATTACTATTCTACCGTTTTAATCATTTAAAAATCTAAATGATCCCAAATGATTCTGATAAACCCCAAACACCATCTAACACATGTATTCACCAAATATAGAAAATGAAGCCTATAAAATCACTCAATAATTAAATTAAATGTCACTAAATTCAATAAAATAATTTAATTGAATTCAGGGTGTTAAAAGCGACGTAGGGGTTCTCGCCTCATGAGGTGATGAATGGGTGCTACCTTTGTGTGGTAGAGGGCTCGCCCTCCCCAATAAGACACATGCACAATGTCACTACACATCCCTCCTTTTTGCAAACTAAGTCTTACCATGACTTTTTGAAGAATAGGTAGTCAATAAACTCCCCCAGTCCAGGGGGAGCGGTTACCACCTCTTAGAGTTTCCTAAGTCTTAGGTCTAAAGGCCTCTAAATATTTCTTCCCTAAGAGGAAAAATGACAAATAGTAACTTGCATAGAAAACCCTAAGAATTATACTCATATACATAACCTATCACCTCATGTGATCAGGTCCTCTAGGCCAGTGTAAACATTATAACACCACTATATAAAGCCTCTAGCCGCCTTCGTCAAGTCTTTACCACCATAAATCAATATAAACTTACTAAGGTCTCTGAGTATCTCATACCCTTGTAGGGGTACATATATACCTATACTTTTTACCAGAAATACACACACACGTATATATATATATATATATATATATATATATATATATATATATATATATATATATATATATATATATATATATATATATATATATATATATATATATATATATATATATATATATATATATATATATATATATAGAATGGTCAAAAGCACATGTGTGTGTGTGAGAATCATAAGCTTTAGTAGGTACGTTACACTTTAAAATGGTTAGGGCTTACCCATGACGGCGAGAATCCCTGTATAGTGGTGTTTTATGGTTATTTGAAGGTCCTGCTCATATGAGGTGAGAGGCTTTATTATTGAGTGGTGTGCTTAGGTATAAGCGTATGTGGGATATGATGTGTATGGCTTAAGATATTTCTCTTCTCCCCTTAGGAGAAAGATATTTATATAGGTCTCTTAGGCCTAGTGTTTTCTTTAAAAGGTTGACGTCCACCTAGTCAAATTATGGACTGTTGAATCCTTATTTCCAAGAGGACATGAGTCAGTTACTGGCCCATGACATCTCTTTTCTCAAGAAACGTCTTATCCCATATTTTCCATGATGGGGCAATGTGAACGTATCTAAGAGGCGATGTGTACTTCCTAAAGGGAGGCATATTTATATTGCTTCCAAGGGGAAACCTATTGTCGTGTCCCAACACAAGTCTTTTACAAATATAATACTATATAGTCCTTCAAGCATGAGGCCCTTAATAGAGGATGAAGTGTTTTTATGTTGTGGATACGTATTTCAATCTGCACATGTCAGGCTCAAAGGTTTATTCATGGAAAATTAATTGTTTGGTCTGTTAGAGGAAACCCAATGTCCCTTAAGAGATAATTTAATTAGTTTAAGGAATATAGGTCTCTCAAGAGAAGTTATATGCAACCCTATTTAATAGATCATAAGTCACTCTGGCGAAGCGGTGGACCTTTTGAACAAGACTTATATCGTGCCCTCAGACGAGAACTATGGTTAAGTATCTCAGGTTAAACTTTGGTTGCGCCTCTTAGGTGTGATTCCTGTATCTTATCCTGCTCGAGGAA